TTGTATTATAATAAATGATACTTTGGAATCTCTGATAACTGAATATTTATAGGAACACCCTATCGTGAAGTGTCTGGATTGGGGTGGGCCCTGCTGGTGATGTGGTTCTCTGAAGTAGATGGAACCATGGGTCACAGGACACATGGCGTGGCTGCTTTCTTGTCGTTATATCCTATCAAGTTTGCCAACCAAAAGTCACCTCCCTCCTGGTACATGAAGGTTGCTACATCTCACTGTAGTTCAAACATTTGTGGGAGAGAAGAGTAAAAAAGGGAGACCATTAGATAAACTGTAGGGCAGCCATTGAGAAAGAATTCTCTACAGACAGTATGAAATTGAAGCATTAAATATAATTAAATAAACAAGGTCAAGAGGAGACCAAAATTTGATGTCACTGAATGCAAAACTTGTCAGAGCAGTCTTAGCAGACTGAGTGGACCAGAAGGCAGAGGTGTGTGTTTTCTAAAGCAAGCCTCCTCGGAGCTCCACAAAGTAGGTCAGCATCCACTTAGCTGGAGGACCTGCTTTCATAAGGGATGATTTTATTTGTGAACCAAAGCTGGATTTGGAATTGTGAGCACTGCATGCACTAGCAATTGAAAATAAAGGCCAGTGTAAAGGTTACAGCGTCAAAAGGATTCTTCTAAACTCCCCAAACTGTAGAAATAAATAAGTAGCGCTTTCAGCCGACGTTGTTACCCTAACTTTTCATATATAATTTTATAAATTCTTATTTAAATTAACTCTTCAAGTGCTAAATAAGAAAAGATGCAATTGGAGTTTCCTTGGAAAAAACATTCAGTAGGTATCAAATTGAGTTTATGGAGAATTAAACATTTCATTGCAGAAGTCAACTAGGTTATTGTTGACATTTATGGAAAGTTCTAGTAAATCTGGAAACTTTTATCTAAACTTGAAGCTTTTGTAAAATGTTTGTTTCATAGTAAAGTGATGTGAATGATGTAGATTTCATTTTAGAATCAATTCCTAATTCCAGTCTTTGGGGGGAGATGTTGTATTGTTGTTACAGGTTTGTGAGACAAGGATTTGCTAGGTAGCTCAGGCTGGTCCCAGGCTCACCATCCTCCTGCCTCAGACTCCTGAGTACTGGGATTGCTGGCATAATACTTTAACTTTTGAAACCCTTGTGTCCTACTTAATTCTGGGAGGTTTTTATTAGCACACTGCTGTTTTATTTCTAGACGTTCTCAGGTGACAAGGCCATATAAGAGCTCCTTTCGAAGAAGTATAAGCAAATAGTTCTAAAGATTTATTTTGTGGTTTTGCCTGGTTAAATGGCTTTTTTGCATTTCCAGAGTGATTGCTTTAGCTCTTTTTTCTTTCTGAAGATCTGGCTTTCATGATTAACTATAAATTCATTGTACAATGGTGTGGCATATCATTAAAGGCCTTTATAATACTGAAGGCTAAAGTCTCTATCTTAGGAATCTGAGCCCCATTGAATTTTGTATAATTATTTTTCAACCTGGTTAAGACCAAATAGAAAGTCCTTCCGGGCTTCGATCCTGTGGTGAACACATGCTACTGGTCTACCTTTAGTTAACAGAGCACGTTCACCACTGCTGAGCACCGTCACCACTGCTGAGCACCTGCACCACTGCTGAGCACCGTCACCACTGCTGAGCACGTTCACCACTGCTGAGCACTGTCACCACTGCTGAGCACCTGCACCACTGCTGAGCACCGTCACCACTGCTGAGCACGTTCACCACTGCTGAGCACTGTCACCCCTGCTGAGCACCGTCACCCCTGCTGAGCACCGTCACCACTGCTGAGCACCGTCACCACTGCTGAGCACTGTCTGGACCGCAAAGGACTGTGGGAGAAGAAGGCCAAGGGAAAGAAGGGCTCACAAGTTGGAGAAGTGCAGGATCTGTGTTTGGGGGGGGTGCTGTTGTGGTCCTCCTTGGCTACAGAACGGAGATGCCAACCTGTCTTGCAGAATTTTTTGGAGAGTTCCTCTGGCTGTCGAGAATGATTTGATGGACTGGACTTTGCAAGACTCCTGTTCCTCTTAGAGTGCTCGCCATGCCAGATAGACGTTTAGCCCTGTATTAAATTGTCTCCCGCAATTTGATTTGTTTCTGTTTTAAGTTTGTTATCTTTTAGTAAGAAATGTTCTGTCTGTTTCTCTCTCCGAGAGAAGTGATAAATGTCTTGGCCTTGGTCTGTGGTTCTGAGGGTTTCAGACACTGGCGTGCTTCCCGTGCTGGGCAAGAACTGGGGGATGTGGAACGCAGGGGAAAGCCAGTGTCCTTTCCCCTTGGGTCTGAAGTCGAGTTTTTCCTTCAGCATTCTCTTGTAAATGTTGAGGGTTTCACAGACAGTCACCCTAGATCTGTTGGGAAGTGTTTGAGGAGAGGCCATGGGTCTTATGCTTAAGAGACAGACCTCCTGTCGTGCACAGCCTGTGCACGGACTTGGGCTTGGTATGCATGCCTTTGGCATGCTAGGCCATGTTCACCGCAGTTGGGGTTCCTCTGCAGTGGCTGTGAGTATGCAGAAGCCACATGGACTTTCTCTCTGGAAAATGCTCATAATTTCCTTGACTGTTCAAGGTAGTTTAAAAGACATTTCGGAATCAGTGACATTGTTGGGCTTATTTTCCATTTAACAGTCTGCACAATGCTAGGGATGTTTGTAAAGCTATTGACCAGTTATTGGCTGAGTGGCTTTTGAGCCCTGGGGGGCATGAAGTCTGGGGCTGCTAGGAGTAGCTGCCTTTGCAAGGCGCTCAACTGCTTCTGGGAGTCTGCAGATGCTTACCTAGGAGAGAGTATGGCAGGGAAGATGTTCAGTACCCACAATACTCGGGAGGACTGGGTGTGTCCTTAGGATTGGTGCTGTCGTTGGTAACATAAGAAATTGGAAAGTGGGAGGACACATGCTGTCTCTCCTCAATCTAGAGGGTTCAGTATGTGACAAGTTGGAGAGAAAATGGGTCGCGGAGAGTAGGAAAGCTTAAGGAAGTTAATCTGAGAAGTCCCTGTAAGTATTCTCACCATCCTACTGTGTGGACAGTGGGAGGATGACAGTGTGCACTGAGTGTGCTTGGTGGAAGAACTATCCTTGTAAAGCACAAGACACTTTACCAGCTACCTACCGTTCCCTGAACACATTCTTAGGGAAACAATGTCACTCGTAATCTCCAGCTTTTCAACTTTTAGGTCTGTTGAAAGCCTTCTCTAGTTAACACAAGAATCATTTCAGAAAACAATCCAGCTGGTAGAGTTTGTTGTAGTGGGAGAGAAAGTGAACAGAGACTGTTGAACATGATTGATCATTTGAAAAAGGATAAAAAAGACATGAGCACCACCAAACCCTCCTGAAAATCACTGCTTACAGAGCTCAGCTGTTTCGTCCACTTTCATATATAGACTCAGTCTTTGACAACAACCTTATAAAGGAAATATGTTATTGTTGCTGTACCCATTTTAAAGATTAGCAATCTGAAGCCCAGACAGTGGGGCAAGCAGGGGAGATGCTGGGACCAAAGTCACATTTCATAGCTGTGTTGCCTTTATATGAAGTTGGGTCTTCTGCTTTGAGCTTTTTAAATTTTTTTTAATGATTGTTATAAAAGTAGTATGTGTTTATTAAAGAAATCAGTGGCAGAAACATGGGAATACACTCAGGATCATCGAATATAACCTAGCTGGTCTGTGTCTTCCCACTTTTTTCTGCAATGCTGTGCATTAGTCAAGGATTGTGGTTGCATCTGTTATGCTTGTATGCATCCTTCTGTTAGAGTCTTCCTGAGAGCATAGGCCTTTGATTCTTACACCGCTGGTTAAGTATTTTAATGAACACTGTCTTGGTTAGGGTTTTTATTGCTCTGAAGAGATACCATGACCATGGCAACTCTTATAAGGAAAACATGTAATTGAGGGGTGGCTTACTTACAGCTTCAGAGGTTCAGTCCATTATGATCATGAAGGGGAGCATGGCAGCATGCAGGCAGACATGGTGCTGGAGCTGAGAATGCTACATCTCCCAGGCAACAGGAAGTCAACTGACTGTGACACTGAGTGAAGCTTGAGAAAAAGGAAACCTCAAAGCCTGCCCCCACAGGGACACTCTTCCAACAGATGTGTGGCCCAGATTAAAGGTATTTCCTCCAGCCTCAAGGTCTGGATTAAAGGAGTGTGTCATCTAGCCTCCTTCAACAAGATCACACCTCCTAATAGTGCCACTCCCTTTGGGGGGCATTATCTTTCAAACCACCACAAACACATACACTGGACTTACACCCCCTCTATACATTCAACTATTGGCAAGTCCTTTGACTTTTATAGAACCCATTCCTTTTTTCTAGATGAGAGGTGGATCAAATCCTCTTTTTTCAAATGACGGGGGTCTGCAGAAGTGTCGAGAGACTGAGGATAGAAAGATCAGGTGAGCCTTGGCCCTGGGCTCTGCCTGTGTGTCAACCCAGTCAGCCGCAGTGTTATCTTTTCTATTTTAGAGTTCACACATGTTTGGAATAAGTGAACTAGTAACTTTTTGGGCAAAAAAACTTGTAAAATTATTAGACCAGATGATCTTAAGATCAACATTTCTGTGATACCTAAGTTGTCACATATTGTGCACATTTTCAGCATTCCTCACCAGAGCGATTGGTGGATTAAACAAGTTTGCCAGACTCTTTCATATTATGTCATGGAAGTATGTTAGGTACAAAGAGAATCAGTGGTCTCTGCTGAGCAGGGTCCAGAGTCTGTTGAGTTATTCCTAATAAGTACTCCCTGGGAGATCCATCCACTGTTGTCCCTGGCCTTCTACGTTTTCAGATCCAATTTAGTGATCTGTCATGGAAGACTTATGACCAGGGAATTGGCAATGCTTGAAACTAACACATTTGAAACAGAGGTTACCAGTGACTGCCCTTCCGCTTCTATTGTACACCTTGAGCCTCTTTGCATTTTGAAGGAACTGATCTGGAAGTCCTATGATCCTGACCTTTTCTTTTCCTCCCACAGAAGGAAGAATCCTGTTCAGAAATGAGGCCAATTAATGTTCAGACACCGCTACACGAAGTGCTTTAAACTGCCCTGACCATCTTGCCAAATGAGTCTCTGCTCATGAGACCCAACAAGATGAACCGGCCCAGGAGGGATAGTGCCCTGCTCTGTACGAACAGTGACTGCTGACGTCTAAGAGCAAGTTGGGGGTACTGCATTTTGTCTGCCAGTACCATGAAGGAAGTGGTTTATTGGTCACCCAAGAAGGTGGCAGACTGGCTGCTGGAGAATGCTATGCCAGAATACTGTGAACCTCTAGAACATTTCACAGGCCAGGACTTGATCAACCTAACCCAAGAGGATTTCAAAAAACCCCCACTGTGCCGAGTCTCCTCTGACAACGGGCAGCGGCTCTTAGACATGATCGAGACCCTGAAGATGGAGCATCATATGGAAGCGCACAAGAATGGCCACGCCAACGGGCATCTCAGCGTTGGCGTTGACATTCCCAACCCTGAGGGCAGCTTCAGCATCAAGATTAAGCCCAATGGAATGCCAAATGGGTATAGGAAAGAGATGATAAAAATCCCCATGCCAGAACCAGAGCGCTCCCAGTACCCCATGGAGTGGGGCAAGACTTTTCTGGCCTTTCTTTATGCACTTTCCTGTTTTGTTCTCACTACAGTGATGATCTCGGTCGTCCATGAACGAGTACCTCCTAAGGAGGTGCAGCCTCCACTACCGGACACATTTTTTGACCATTTTAACCGGGTGCAGTGGGCCTTTTCTATTTGCGAAATTAACGGCATGATCCTTGTAGGACTCTGGTTAATTCAGTGGCTGCTCTTAAAATACAAGTAAGTAGAGTAAACATAGTCTTAAGATCCAGAAATGATGGGTTTGCATTTAGCTATCTAGTTATCGTTTGGAAATGAAATTTAGCCAAGTGGTGAAATCGAAGCATATTAATTAGTTTTGAAACCACACACACCATGGGACTAACTAAAGCTTCTACAGCTTTGAGAGAATATTGTTTGTTGCCTGTTTGATACAAGATGCCTCTAGAATTGAGACCATGAGTAATGGTGGTCTGTTTTCAGGTAATAGGAAAGAAAACATTCAGACATTTTCAGAGAGTAAAGGCTGTTGAATAACTGGGGGTGGAGGTGTGGAGGGTATGGGGGTGATGATAAAGCTGCCTAGTCTTGGTTGTTATTTACTCAGGTGAATTGTTGGCAGTTGGCCTATGTGCTGTGCATGGTGGAATAGGCCCGTCCCATGACACCCCCCCCGCCCACCCGCAGCCAGACCCAGAACCTTATCAGTATGTATTCACAGTTTTGGCATGTAGGGGTCACGCAGCTATTTTATAATGACTTTGGTTGGGGAAAACTGATACCTCATTTAGTGTAAGCAGGTAGAATGTGGTGGAACCTATATGATCCCATCTTATAGAATGTGTAGCACTTAAAACCATGGGTGGCTGCCTTTGAGTGTCTCAGTTAGTGTGTATTTAGTTTCAGTTGGAGCCAAAGTGATTCTCATGTCCCAAGCTCCATCACAGCAGGGATTGTCTAAAGCGAGCTATTTCCTTAGATGAACAGCTTCCCTTGGCTTTAATTAATTGCCCTTGTTCTTGGTGTCTGGTTTTCTTCTGAGCAGAGCATCTGTGGCTTCCCTGTATGCAGTGGGGAATGACCATTTCTCCCTATCCAATGGGCTTGGGAGCCCCAGTAGATGGTACCACTGTGCCCTGGCCACAGCGCAAGCTCACTGCCATTGCCCCTGGGGCACCATAACCAAATCTACAGAGTGAGCGGGGCCATGCCTGGGACTGAGGCCGGAGCTGGGGCTGCTTCCATGTAAACCTGGAACTGTCACTCTGGGGCAGCTTCTGAGTTTCTCTCTGGCAGACTGAGTTGCCTGAGCCAAAGGATGGCTGGATATTAAAGCATCTTCCATCAAGATAACAAAATGCAGGTGGAGTGTTTCTGTTGAGTTTGTCTCTGAGTGTTTTTCTGGTGTTGGGTAAACTTGCTCAGTTCACGAAGTCAGACATGTAGAAAGGGGAGGGTACCCGCTGACCTCACCATGGAGACTATCATCTTCACTTTGGGGAAGTCACTGACCTATCCAAGTGTTTACGTGGGGCTAGTTCGACAATTTTATAACTTAAGTAGAATTAGAAATGGAACTGATGGCCTCTGCTATCCAGTTGAAGGAAAAAACAAACAATGTTGTTGCTTTGGTTTTGAGAGGACTCAGCTTCAGAAGTAGTGATGTTTGGAATTCCTTGCATACTTTCTGTGGACTGACAGCGCTAGTCCCGCTTCTCACTTAGGAACATTTGGACTTTTCGACCTTTCTCTCCCAAAAGCCCACTGAAGATAGTTCCCAGGCTTTTCCTTTACAGAGGGAAGGGCAGCTCAAATTAAGCTTCCTAGGGTTTTTTGTTGTGTTTTTTTTTCCCTTAAAATTTGTTTTTGTGAGTTCACTTTCTGGCTTTTCATCAAAATTCATACACACAGGCAAATTTATTGCCCCAGAATATAACTCAGTAAGTCAGACTTTTTGCAGAATTGAGATGTTTTATGATTTCAACCTTGTTCTAAGGAAACTTCCTAATCATAGGAATAATTTCTACCAGGGAATTTTTCCAAAATCTATTTCTCTTTAAATTTTCGAATTTGGTATTGTCCTGGTACTTACTGCCAATACTGTAGTAATTTACTTATTTAAATTGTTCAACAGCAATAAGCCAGTTGGAATGTCTTCTACAAAGCTAATTCAGTGCCGGAGCAGGCGGCCTGGGTTCTAGCACCAGCTGTGGCTTTACATGCTAGTTGGCTTAAATGAACTTTTCCAACTCAGGAGCCTTGTTCTCACAGGAAAAAAAAAAAAAAAAAAAAAAAAAAAAAAAAAACCAGCTTCTAGGTCAAGGTTTCTATTATCCTAGAAAACTTTTCAATTGGCCCTGACATTGCTGGGTAAGCCACTGGGATGGAATTGGAGTAGTCAGGTAATTTTAGCTTGAATGCAACCAGCTAAGGATTCTTTAAGGACCTTACTCTATTTCTACCTTTGGAAGTAGACTGTTGTCCTAAGCATCCCCACTCTGTCTGTCTGTGACCTCTCCAGTGTATGTGGTACTCCAGGTATGAAGGATTGAGAGGGTACAGACTGATGCAGCATGAAGTGCTTGCTGATGAATATCCTCCTCCCTAGCTCTCATCACCAAGACTAACCTTCTGAACTGTTATACAGACACACCTCGCCCAACACCCTCCCTTGTTTCTAACTAATTGGCTGTTGCTGTGTGACGTTATATTTAGGAACCATTTCGAAAACATGGAACTTTCTGGTTAGGGGGTATTTTTCATTGCTAACTTTCCTTTGTGTTTCACTCTTGTGAGTTTGACCCCTCTCTCCAGCATCCACCAACTGGATAGTTTACCATTAACCGTTTTACTCAGCTCCTTAGAATTAAAGCCATTTGGTTGGTATTAAGATCCCAACAAAACCCAAATTCACTACCCCCCAAATTATTCTAACTTTAAGAATCATGGAGGCCTTAAAAAAGGCAGCCTACTCTGTCTTCTTTTGTACTTTCTAACTTTAGAGAAAAGACACAACTGTTGAGGACGCTGTACTAATGGAGAAGTAAGACCACTGGAACTTTGGGCAACATCTACCAACAATAAGCCCTTGAGCCAGACTTTGAGGGCTCTGAACACCTTAACTCTGAATTTGTGACATTCAGTTCTGTCTTATGTTGCATACACTTGTCCTTCACTGTGAACTTTTTTTGGTTTTTAAAATTGTAAATAATGTTGTCTCCTCATTTAGAATTGGACTTTCAAGCCACTGACTAGGAAAAATTCCGGGGAAATCTCTGCCTTTGTGTCAGACCTCACTGCAAACCAGGTACCCTTGTTTTAAGAAAGCACCATAAAGAGTATTGACAGCTTGCAGACTGATAGAGCTGAGACTCAGGGCTCTGTGTGTGGCTCACAGCTAACACAGTGGTACCCCTGCATGTTTCCTGTGGCCCCACCCTGTCAGGACCTTGACAGAGAAGGTAGCACCGAGGTCTCCAAGTCAAGTTTTCTTATGAGAGCAAATGTAACACCAAGTGTGGTGATCAGGGTGCCTCAGACTCTCCTGGACCAAAACCAGACTTGTGAGCTGTGTTTTCCAAGTTGTTTTTTCCCCTTCTCTGGCCAGTGACATTTTCTAGAAACATAGAACAGCTCAGTTGGTATTGTCTAAATAATGAGTTTGGTCAATTCTAATTCTGTTTTTAGGAGTATTTTCTCCTTTCATTTCTAATTGGGGATCCAGACTGTGGAATTGGATGAAGACACAACCTCTCTGCTTTGAAGCTCAGAGCTCTTCACAATAGAGTTTAAGTCTGACCTATTTTACCTGCAGCTACTCCAGTTCTCTGCAAACGCCTTAAGCTCATAGCACACACTTTCCAATTCTTTTAATTCTACATGTGTCTCCTCCAGTGGTAGCTTTTTGTTTTGTTTTGTTATTTAATTTTCTTTAAAGGAGACAATGATGCCATGTTCATCACTCCCACTTGTATCCTGATGTCTGTGACAGAGCCTGGCACATATAAATACAGTGTGTTCATTTAAAATCTGTCCATTCATTCAGCTTGGACTTCACTGAGCAGCCTACTGTATGCCAGCAGTGCTAGGGCCTGTGGGATGCTGCAGGGACGAGAGTGACGTGAAGTGATTAGTCTGGGCAGAGTGAGGCAGTTAGTGAACAGCTGAGGATATGACATCAGCTAGTGTACGGGAGCTAGAGACTGTGAGTCAGCATGAGGGTTGGGGAGTGTTGGAAATAGGGCAGCAGTGATCCTTTCAGATTGGGTAATTACGAAAGGTCACTGATGAGACAGCAGTTCAGCAGACACGTGAATCAAATGAAAGACAATCCCAAGTAGGTATCTGAGAAAGAACGTTCCAGATAGGAGACATAGCAAGTGTTTGGAGGGTTGGTTTATTTCCGTAGCTTAGTTGAGCTAAGTATTTATAACGGCCCAGTGAGCTGGAGGAGAGCTGTGATATATATAAGAGTCAAGTGAGATACAGACAGGGTCTCAAATGGAACCAGTAGAGTGTGGATTTAATGTCAAGTGTGATAAACCACTGACATGATTCAAACACACTTACGTTGTGGAAGGATTATGTAGGGTCAGCAAGATGCTCAGTTACGGCATTTACTACGAAGCCTTAAAACTGGAGTTTTCATCTCAGAATCCATATAGTTGAAGAGGAGAACCAACGCCCACAAGTTGTCCTATGACCTACACACACACATACACACATACACACACACACACACACACACACACACACACACACACACACACACACACAGATAGATAATAAATATGATATGGCTGCTTTGTAGATAATAGGATAGCAAGAGTTGAATCGAGAGAATTATTTGTGACACCCATTGCCATAGTGAACAAAACTGGTTTTTGTTATAGTTTATTTCTCACACAAAGCCTTGGAGCTGCCCATGAAGCCCTGAGTTTTATGTTACTTAAAGAGAGAGATTCCACTAATTCAGGGGTACTCACAGCTGTGCTTGAATATATTTTCTTTGGAAGAAAGTCAAGTAGTCTATACCAACATTGAAGCTTGGATGGAAAGGTATCCTGGCAGTCGGGAGCCAAGGAAGACCACAAAGTCACTGTAAGCATAGCAGCTCACAGCCCTGCTCCAGGGAAAGAGTTCCCAATGCAAGTGTCACAGCTCTGCTTCTGACAGGGGAGTTTTTCCCCAGCAAAATTGTTAGAGCTCTGCTCCGGTGCTGGGAAATGTTACAGCTCTAC